ACACCAACAGACAAACTTAGCGGATTATATATAGTAGGATTCTAGAATTCTGTAGTTTTCTTTTCACCTTTCACATTTTTTCAACTGTTTCTCGTCTTTGCTTTCTCGTTCATGTAGATCGGAGGTGTCTGGTTGCAAAAATGATTCTTTTGATTCAATTGCACTCATAACTTCTAGTTTTTAAATTGTATTCATGAAAATTTTTTATAGAATGTGTGAATGAGGATCGTTGCCGAACAGTTAATGCGCGCGCCGCATTTTCTCAGCGGCCGTATGAAATATTCCTGACCAGGTGAGCGATTTTGTAATGCAGTTTTATTTTTTATCCCTCTTTCTCACAGAGCGGTACGGGCCTGCCCTCAGCGCAAAGTTTTGTGCTGAGATTTCTTAAGGAAGTCAAGGTAGCAACATATAATGATGACTTTCTTTGTAGTGAGCTTATTGTGACTATGACGTGAAGTGGGATGGTCCTTCTTGTTAGAGTGCTTTCGAGAGGTGAACAGACCGTGTCTAATGTGCGTTACTTTTCAGATTCGGGAAGCGTTCACGATCATCTTGAACCAAGAAATCTACATGAAAAAATAAGAAAAACAAAACAATGAAGGAGGCCGAAGTTTTTTTTGTATTCTCAACAGCGAGTTCGTGACCTTTGTCTAACTTGTATTAATTTTCCGGTGTTTCCTTTTCGTTTCCTTACTTGGTTCGTTGGGGTAGCATCTTGTGTTGCAGTTATAATTTTGTAACTCAAAGCCATGTCCCGCATTCCTCTGGTATTCAGACAAGGTAGTCCTGTAGGTTCGCCAGTGCAGAGGATGACGCGACTCAAAATTACGTGATAGAGGTGCCACTCGATAGTGATTGCCCCTCTGACCCCCCTCCCCTTCACTGTCCCATAACAGTAGTCACTTGTACGGGTTCCTTGTTGGTGTAGCTTTTCTCCCCAAATCTCTCTGAATCTTTGCACTCCTGAAAACACGGAGATGGTAAGAAAAAAGTGCTGATATCGCTATTATACCAATGAGTGAGTGCTCGTCCATGCACATCCCATGTCCCTGTATTCTTGTGAAAGAAAGAGATGCACATCGAATCCTATATGGGGCCTTTCAGGTGCACCCGAGCAAAGTTGTGGTTCTTGTGTATTTTCGTTACGACAAGTTTCCACTTTCTCTGATTTTCCGTTGAAAAAAATGGGCGTGATTTCGGCGTGCACTACGCCCATCGCGACTGTTGTAGGTTTTTCTGTAATACAGTAATGCCTGTAGTGTGCATAGTGTACCTATCTCATGGATATGAAATGCTTGATAAATGTTTATTTTTTGAACCGTGCATGAACTGTGCTTTTTCAACACTTCCAAGTTATGGTGTGAAATCTCCAAACAACCCAATTGGGTAGACTTTCTTATCAGAGCGCTTCGTGGCTCAGCATCCATCCTTTGAAAATCAGTCGAGTCCCACGTGGAATACAAATTTTCTGTTCTGCATCGAAAAGACACGTTTCACACCACCTGAAAAGATTTATGATTATTGCGGCTACGTGAGTAGGAAAAACATAATTGAGTAGGCATGTTTCCACTGGATGAAGTTAAACAGGGGCATGTAGAGATTTCAAGAAGATGAAGGCCGCTCGACGGGAATACAATGCGCGGTTACGAAATTCGAAGTAGACCCAACTGCTATTGATTGACGTTGAGGGCATGGAGGATTGGTCCAGTGCTAGATCAAGGAATTTTAGCGAGCCCGAGCCTCCGCTGAAAGCATTCTAGCAAAAAAAGCCATAGCAGAAAAAGGGGACTGAATTTCTATTTCAGACGGGTCCCTCCGCGAACAATGCACTCGTGCAACTACTGTTCAAGTCCGAACTGCCATACTCCAAGTCTCATGAACATAGGGTTTGGAAGACAGAGGGCGTATCGCATGCAGGGTAGCACGATTAAATGGAAGTCATCGTTAGGCGATAAGGATCCTTTACATGTTAGGACATCTCACAACATATAGTAGTGCCAGGTGTGTTAGGACGTGTTGAATGGTTCTACGACAAACATTACCCTAGAACGCAAAAGCACCAAAAAAGGTGTCGATGCATTGTCATTAAATTATGCTTGGAAGGTTGAAAGGTAAACGAACGAGCCTCTTAGTAGGTGGCAAACACGTCCCGCACGCATCAACTGCAACAGCGGTACCAACTTCCATAAAGCTGTGGTGATTTCCATTTCGTACCATTTGCAATCCATTTGCCCTAAAACTAAAAAACTCGTTGTGCAGAAACGATTACGACAGCAAATACGGGAAGAACGAAAACCCGAGTCTAGAAAAGAAAACCAATAATGAAAATGAAGGACGAACCTGCACTCGGATGAATGACCATGATTTTGACGTAGACTACAGCTTGGAAAAAAAACACGAAAAATATGCATGAACATCCAGCTTTCATACAAATATAATGTCCGACAACAAAAAGCCGAGCCACGGCCGCAAAAAATTGTCTAAATAGAAGTTATAGTGATAAAAAATACCACTGCATTACAAAATCGCTCACCTGGTCAGGAATATTTCATACGGCCGCTGAGAAAATGCGGCGCGCGCATTAACTGTTCGGCAACGATCCTCATTCACACATTCTATAAAAAATTTTCATGAATACAATTTAAAAACTAGAAGTTATGAGTGCAATTGAATCAAAAGAATCATTTTTGCAACCAGACACCTCCGATCTACATGAACGAGAAAGTAAAGACGAGAAACAGTTGAAAAAATGTGAAAGGTGAAAAGAAAACAACAGAATTCTAGAATTTTCCTAAAATTAGGCGTCAACTACGTAGCAAGTACGGTAGGCGTCAGTGGTGCAATTGCGGCCAGCCGTTCTCAAAGTTGTCCCGTTTGCATACCTCGAAGGAAACGCTATGGGAGAAGGCACAAAAAGAAAACACAGCAAAATGGTCAATACAACAAAAACTGACACGTACAAATGTAGCAAAGCAAAAACGAAATCGTACGTGAACAGAGTAGTATTCAAAACTGGAAAACTGAAACGAAAACGCAAAAGGACTCACGTATCCACTGGAGCGGCCCAAAACGCGACCGTCCGCGGGCGGTGCACAGAGTCGAATGAATGACATGTAGAAAGACGTCGGCGGTAATCAGAAGATCCATTGATACCTTGAAAAACTAGTGTAGGCCATTTCTTCTTGCTCTTATCTAGGTAAGGTTGCTATTCCGCACGTGCTGAAGTGAACTATGGTTCTACTCTCCTTGATATTGTAGATGGTCTGCTGGAAGCAGGCGGCACTGGTGAGCCTGCTCTGGCTTGCACATTCAATATCAGCCGAACTAACCTACCATGGTGAGTTTCCAGTGTAACTTGAAGTTTTACAGGGAGTTTGAAACCCAAACGGAGACGTTCCTTTCGCACCTGTAGCTGCTTTCTTCCCCTTCAAAGAATACAGTCACCTTTGTCGTTAGCTTGACGCCATGGTAGGTATATGTGAACTACCGGGGCGCCAACAAGGGCGACGCGCCGTATACACCACGAGCAGCAGTTAGGCAGGGTTCATACTTTGCAACAGCGACCACCAGCGTCCACCAGCGACCAGGAATACTGTATTGAGTGGTAGTGCGGTGCACACGCCACAATTTCACGATGCCTAATCTAGGTGCCTTCTTCTCCTACCTATCCATACTCTACAGCAGTCTACCCTCCTTCCTCATATTCTTCACTCTACTAGCCACCGGTGGACGCTCGTAGACGCTGGTAGACGCCAGATCAATATCCATGCTTTCCTAGTCCCTCGATACGCTGATGTCATCAATTTGGGCAATTTGGGTTCTGGACGCTGCCGCAAAGTGAGAACCCAGCCTGAAAAGACATACAAACCAACACACCAAGATTTGGTTTATCCAGTAGAGTGGTAGGAGTGTACCATACCGTGTGATTAGGCAACGCAGTACCCTTTTGTTCTCATATGCTCTGTCAAAACACTTGCGGTCAAGGTCAACTATACTCATGTACAGGTGCGGTCTCTTTCAGAATTGGAGCGCGTCAATACGCGTCATCGTGAAGTCTGAACGCTGCAAGACCGTGTGCTATTTCCTCAATGGGTTGAATACCCTTGAGCAAAAATCAGTGGAAATCTGGTCTGCGTATAACTTAGGCTTACCTTATTCCTTTCGTATGCATCGGTCTTCTGTTTCTTGTTGTCCTCTCTCGCCCGTACGGTATTCCATGGTCGTGGTGATCTCACACATTCTAGTTGTCCGAAATTTCGAGTGGATCACCCGTCCCCGAGTTTCTTTCCCTTGCAAGAATCCATATAGTAGCTCGCGGCTTGTTTCTTGCACACGTCTGTGCTTTGGCAACCGTTGCCCTCCATTCGTCTGCATGGTTGCTCGACAGAACCATGCAAAATGTTCGAAATGCTACGTAACCTGGAAGTCTAGCCTGTACTTTGATTGGTGGAATCGTGGAGAGTTGTTTAGACTTCACAATGGTGCGCTACAGCAGGGTTGAAGGCTCGCGACGTCGCGCGTCGACGCGCTGCAATGCGCCACAGTTGCAATCGCGCTCCGCTGCTACAGTATCCCAGCTTCTCTTTAAATGTCTAAGGCAAAAGGAGAAGCTTACTATGAAGTGTAACTGAAAAACAAAGAAAAATTAAGCGAGCGTTCAAAAAGATTGGAGGGAGCGTGCTTGCAGCGCGTCACAGCGCGTCGATGAGCGATCTCGCAAAGTCTGAACTCTGCCTGCGGCGCCCGCCGATCAATGTCCGCCAGTAGTTGGCCGGTCCCCTCTACAGCATCCTAGCGCTACTACAATGGCAGTGCATCGCGCTGCTTATGCAAAACTAGGGCGACCTTCACATGTACTACTATCGTTGATATCACTCCTTCTATACTATCAAATGATAGGATCATGCTTACTCGCTCCAATGAAACCGATCTTTCCAGTCAAATTGGGTGATACGAAGACTTTGCAATCGATTGCAAAACATAACATAAAAGTGAAGTTGAAGATGAATAAGCATTTGATAAGAGGTGGGTTATTTCAATGCAAGCGAATTGAAATTAATACAATATTTGGTGGTTAACATAATATGATTTGCTCCTAAGAAAACAGTAAGCTTTTCCGGGAATGATTTTTCTAAATGGTTTCTATTGAAAAAGAGGAAGCGGAAATTGTCGTTCGAATCCCACCAAAGGTAAAGCCATCGAGGACCGTAATAGCATCTGCTAGGGTGGGATGCACCGAAATAGCTCATGGAGGGACCACTGAAAACCATCCTCTACGCTGACGACATCGCCCTGATAGCGGACAGCAGGGAGGAACTCCAGGACAAGGTGCAGCGGTGGCAGGATGTGCTCGCTGAGAATGGACTCCGGCTGAACGTGAAGAAGACCAAGTTCCTAAGCTCCGAAGAGTGCACCGAACTCATCGTAGACCGCCATGGCGAGAGCATCGAAAGGGTCGAGGATTTCCAGTACCTGGGGAGCAACCTAGCAGCTGATGGCAGCGTGGACCAGGCGGTGGCCCGAATCAACGCAGCCTGGATGAAATGGAGGGAGTCCACTGGCATCCTGACCGGCGGTGCTCGAGAACGCTCAAGGGCAAGGTGTACCGGGCGGTGGTAAGGCCTACAATGCTCTACGGCAGTGAGTGCTGGCCCATCTGCAAGAACCATGAAAGGCAGCTCCACTCAGCTGAAATGAGGATGCTGAGATGGGCCTGCGGCTGGACACGACTCGACAGAGTCAGAAACGAGGACGTCAGGGCGATCACACAGACGGCTCCGATCCAGCTGAAGGCACGAGAGCAGCGACTGCGATGGTATGGGCACGTACTGAGAAGGCCTGAGGACCACCCAATAAGGAAGGCATTGGAATTCGAAGAGGGCAAGCGACCACGAGGAGCCCCAAAGAAAAGATGGAGGGACGTCATCAAGAAGGACCTCACTGAAGTGAAAGCCACGGCAGAAGATGCAGTGGATCGGAACAAGTGGCGACGTCTAACAAGAACAGCGGACCCTGCGACGGCGCGGGACTAACGCTAGGGAGAAGAAGAAGAAGAAGGGTGGGATGCACCGATTAACAGCAATACGTAGTAGTACATGATTCGACGCACCGCTATGGACGAGGACCGCTTTCGTCGTTCCTTCAGGTCCGTTAACCAAGCTGGAGATGTAGTGTATGTGACGAGAGAATCGTAATTCGCCGCGTTGATGCGCGTCGCGTACGACGTTGACGATGGTTCCGGGTTGTAGATGGCGACAACAGGCAATTCAGACCGACCGAAAATAGTCATGAATGTCTATGATGACGGGGTCTACATGAAGTCCGGTGCTCCAGTCGACAGGTTAACACGAGTTGAGGAAATGTCGCGCCGGTCGCCGCGCGCGGCAGAGCGGCAAATCACGATTCTCTTGCCCTTCTCCCGAAAATACACCCCGCAATGTGACGCGATTGAATGGCCACATAAAAGAAGATCTAAATGAGATGCTGTTATCACGGAGGGGTCAGAGGTGAGTAGAGGAGTACATGTGGGGGGAGGAGGCAGAAAGGCTGTTGGCAGCCTGATGCTATGGAAAACCCCAATTAATGACATAGTGGAAAAGTGATGTGAGAGGGCGGCACGAAGAACCCGGTTTCTATGATGGGTCGTTGAGACGGTTAGTTTTCCTCAACGTCTTTTTTGAAGCCGGTTCGCATTCATACAACGAAAGCAGTAAAAGTGAGAGCGGGATGCGAGTTACCATACTTTCCAAGTGTCGAGAAAAAGCCACCGTGTTTAAAAAGTCTCGGTTTTCCGGGTTTCCTAGAACCCCAATTTTGAGGGCGAAGACGTCGCACAAAGATCAAAATCACAGCCAAATTTTTCTAGCGTTCGATGAGTGGTGGGCAAGTTCGCAGTGACGAACATTGAGGAAGACTCCCGCCTTCTAAGCGGGAGTGTAGCACATGTACTGCTACGGCATATTCTCGTGAAACACTGATCAGGCCATTACGGGGTGGGGGTGAAGTCAGCACGTGGCAGCACGTTGTGTTTGCCCGATTTTCAGTGGCTCTTCAATTTTTCATCCGAGACATAGATCTAGAGGAAAAGTGTGCGTTGATGTATCGGCGGAGTCACTCTTGCTATCACGCTTTTTTTACTGATAGCTCCCCCCCCCCCCCTCCTCCCCTCGCTCCCATTGCCATCTTAGAAGTGGAGGGCCGCATAACGACAAGGATCTTCTAGGTGGACCCGTGCCCAGCAATTAGGTTGAAAGAATACGTACAGCACTTATCAGGGCTCAGGCGTCCCAACATTTTGGCATGGCGCCTCTACAGATTTCCATGGCTTTTCTCCCGCAGTGGCAAAGACTGCTGAGAACGAGCTGGCACCGCACCAAAACGAAGTACGCAGTGACGCCTCCACATGGCACACCATTAGAGACTGTATTCAAAATCGCATACAGACAAGGCGGGGATAGCGGATAAAGAAAAGCAATATGTGGAACAGAACAGTATATAACTAGAAGTGGATAAGGACCAATGACACAGCTGATACGTACCATAATCGGGGCCAGTCCAGAGGATGGAAATGAGCCCAGCCGCCACCATTGGTTCTTTTTTCCTTGATCAATCAGTAACCGGTCACTATTGAGCAAAGCAATCAAAGACAGGCTCATTCCACCCCTCCTGACAACGCTCGGATTGATTGCGACGTTATCAGCTACACTCATTATCCTTGGGACAGAGTAGAGGTGGCATATGAACGCGGCTAGGGTGGGTTGATCGTGGAATCAGTTCAAGACAACTGTCACAACTTGTTTTGTATTGGGCAAAGGCGTGATTACAACTGTTCCAAAAACAGAATGTCTCATGCAAAGCGGCCACGCCTACCGTATCTCAGGGATTTTGAGTACCTATAGGGAATTCAAGATGAAATGTTGAATTGGTTCAGAAGTTTTGCATGATTCAAGTAAAATGTTGTTTGTCGTCTTTGACAAGAAGGACGCCTTGCGGCTATCTTCCCTGCATTCTTCTTCAGCTTTCAGATTTTTTGAATTTGTTGACATGATTTTTTTAAAAACAGAAATTGACTATGAGCTTCCTAGAAAAACCCCCGAAAAACGTCATTCTGTTCATTGGCGATGGAATGGGAATTGCTACGGTGACGAGTTACCGTATCGCAAAAAATCAGAAGCATGGGCACTTTTACATACAAGATCCACTCTTCTTCGAGACTTTTCCAGTTACTGGGCTTGTGAAGGTAAGCTTGCAGGAAGTGTTCTGTGCTTTGAAGGATAGAAGATAAAGTCTTCGCTGTTAATCAATCCCTTTGTGGGATGCGGCACGCATTCTACTTC